CTTTTCCCAGATCGTTCTTCAGAACACAGAACTATGAACCAAAACAGTCCTGGCTTTGTCTCGCAGGACGATGATCTTAGTCTCTGAGCAACGTGAAAGAAATCTCCGCTGAAAAGTATCTTTAAAAAAAAAATGACCATGAGTTCCACAAGGTCTGCTTAAATTACTGTAGGCAAAAAAAAAAAAAAAATATTACAGGTACAATATAACATTTTTATTATAAAAAATTACTTTCTCTGCAGTCAAACAATTCATCAGAGGCTATTAAGCGTTTCACGGCACATGAGGACTCCCTGAAGTCAGCTGAGGAAAGCCCACTCGCCCCCGCGTGCCCTATCCCCCACCCCTCCGGCAGCTCTGCATCCGGTGCAGCTAGTGCCCCACAAAGCCACGTGCTCTCGCCTCTTAACGTAAGAGCAGCTTAGCTGAGGAATCATTTGTCCAATTACATAATTGAGCCTTTATCATTAATAAAAACAGTGAAAAACGCATTGTGCGGGAGTTGCTAGTAACCAGCTATCCAGCAACACGCCTTCCACGTTGCATTATGAAATTGAACATTTTTCCACTGAATGTCAAACTTCAGTTCTCGCATTTAAACCTTCCCATCATTTTTAGTCACCACCCCCTAAATACACACCAGTTTTCACATTAATCAGGACTTGCATGAGGTTTATTGCTAAGCCTGTGACCTGGATTTCAACTCCAGGGCTAGTGCTTTTTGAACGGCAACACTGAAACTGTATCGTAAATAAAAAGGTAGACTTTCCTCACGTTTTTTTTTCTATAAGAAAAATGGAACAGACCGTTTCCAACGTGGTAATCAAGTTGTCCAACCCGAGAGGATAAATAACCCATACCTACACCGAGGCTCATTTTCACAGCAATTGGATTACCGAAACAAAGCTTTCACGTTTCAGACGTCGTTGATGAGACCAAGCCTTAGCTATCGACTCGAGCTACTCGCCAAGTATTTGAGACACGAATGTAGTACACAGCTCATGGGTTCAAATAAACAGCCAGACGGTCCTTCATTGGTACCTGCGTTATTCACCCACGGTGCGGAGGGAGAGCTTAAGCCAAGTAATTTAAAAATAGGATCTATGCTTGCAGAAAGGCACGCTGCATCATTCTGCTTTTGCTGTGGCAGTTGTCAGTACTGGAAATAGTTTTGTGTAGTAGGAACTTCCAATGTATTTCTGCTTTCGCAAGTGGGGCAAGATGCTATTTCAACACGCTTCTGTGTACCATTGTCGATAAATAGGAAGAGTAATTATCTGGTAGCTGCAAAATAAAATAAAATTAAAAAAAAAAATAATCAGGCATCGTAAGAAGCCTGCTCCTCCACTTATTCGATCGCCAGCCATTGATTCATTCTCTTCATTAGATTTTTAATTCCCATCGGTGAAGCTTCAGTTCTGAGCACAAGCATACATTCAGCACTCTAATCAGAGGTTGCTTTGTTGGCTATTTCAAACAATAAGCCAAGCTCTTATAATAAACATCTCATTGTTCTGCTCTTCGTTATTAATACCCCTACTTTGTTACTAATACCTGAGCGCCTAGTTTGGAGAGGTATTTATTCCTTAAACTAAAGTCATCAGCTTTTGGCTGTAATTTAGCCAAGTCATCTTCATTTTGACGTCTGAGTCTCTCTTGTTCTTCCGCTCTGGAAAAGAAAATTGGTTTAAGATATTTGCACTGAGGAGTGCAGACCCAAGCAACTTTATCTTGCGTATGCACACAAGTTCTATTTTTAATAGTTAAAAGCAGCTTGTAACCTTTATAGATGAACACTGGATACCAGATTAAAAGAGACTACGAGATGCGTATGGATTACTCTAATTCAGTGTAAAGAAAGAGAGAGGCTGTTTTCTGCAGTTTCCTTTTATTTAGATTGCAAGACTTCAGTAGAAAGATAAACCTTTCGGTTTTCACAGATTACAACACGCTCAGTGAGCTTTTGTAACAGTTTTTACTACCTCTTTATTAAACAAGCTTTCACTCCTTAAAATAAAGATTACAATACAAAAAGAATCAATTGTCAAAAATGCAAATAAAAGACTGCTCAGCAGTCTTCGGAATTCATAGCAGTCTCCTACAAGAGTCACTATTTGACCAGAGCGTTGTCGCTCACTTTCCACGTAAATCTTAAACCGGACCCAACAGAGCTCTAAATACACTTCGCTTAAGACAGTGGTTTGCATTAAGACAGAGACAAAAGTAGTAACTGTGACCCGTTTCTAAACTCTGTAAAGCAATGAGCCTTATTACAGACCGTAAAATGCTGTTACGTTAAGAAATCTCCACCCCCACCAAAACGGTAGTGCTGCACGTAGAAGACACTTTATATGAGTCTTTATCTCAAGATGAACACGTCTGTCTTGGGTTGCAGAGTACCCTCTCCAACAGCAGAGCTTAAACACAGCGTAAAACGCTGTAAACCCATTCTGCTCAAATTAAGGGATGATTTGGCATTAGTTAAAACTGGTTACAAAGCATAAAATTTTGCCATTTACGGTAAAACCCCCCAGCATGTTAGTTTCTTTTCCAAAGAACTACTGTCCAGTGCTGACCACCAAACTAAACAACACTATAATTCTTGAAGGTGCCATGATGCTGATCAAATGCTCCCCACTTCTGGATGATATTTGCTATTCAAATTTCTTTTCTGCAAAAAACATTGTAATAAAAATTACTGAAAACATTGTTCTAAGACACTATATCCCACAGCAAAGACTAATACAAAGCCATCTTCCACAGCAAATACTGGAAGCGTCACGCGCATCCCACATGGGCCAGGCAGGCTGCAAAGCAGCTTTATTTGGATACAGAATTCCTTTACTCCTGGGTACAAGGTGTTGGGGGTTTTTTTGTTGCATTTGTATTAAAATCTGGCTGTGACCTTTTGGCTGGAGGAGCACAACTAAGGTAGCACGCTCACCAGGTTTTTGTTTCCTTGAGCACACAACTAAGGTAGCACGCTCACCAGGTCCCGTGAGGTTTTTGTTTCCTTGAGCGCTGATGTGTAAAAAGCCCACAAATTAGGACAAGAAACCAAACTATGTTAAACCCCACAAGTCACCCAGCTAGACCTCGCTGACCTCGTTTATTCAATACTAACTTAATTATCATCATACGGACAGTTACACAGTCCGTGAAGTTCATTTATAAGAGATGTCTTGTTATCAAAGTATTTATTTGGAACAAACTTATTTATAAGCTGTGAGATGTGTAATATCTGCAGGTGAGAAGTAGTTAAAAAGTAACGAATTTCAACAACATTACAGGCAAATGAACTTCCAAGGCCTGAAGAGCCTCGCTGAGCAGAAAGCATTTCAAAAGACAAATTCGGTGTTGTTCACATACAAGCAGCTTGAATGCTACAGATGTTACCTTGAAAGCTGTGACTTGCTGAGTACCGACTTACTCTTTCACGTGACAAACGTTAAACTATGAGTAGAGTCATGGAACACACATACTCTGCCCTCTCCAACAGTTCTCCATCACAATCTCACCAAAACACACTTGGATCAGAGGAGAACCTCAGATTTCTTAGACTTGTTCTATCCTTAAGCAAATTAAACATTTGCTTTAAATATATTTAAAAAAAAAAAATCAATGAATTAAAGACTTCATCCCCATTGACATACATTCTCCAAGGCACATATTTGTAATCCTCACAGCACTAATTAGAATTAGGAAAAGGTACCGTAACTTTTGGGTGCTGAGACACTACTAGAAGCAGTATGTTCAACATGATCATCAGGACAAACTAAGCTGCCCCAACGCAATCCGATGGACAGACTTTACATTATATACTTAAAAAAAAAGCCAACAATTTTCCTACACAGCTAAGTAGGTAACGGAGAAGCTGGTGTGGAAGGACCTCTTGTTTTGCCTTTAAGGTGACATCTCTTAATGGACTTTGCCATACAACGCTTTTTCTTCCCTCTTCCCTGAATACAAGGCAATTATTTTGGAAGTTTAAGACTAGAACTTCCCAAGAACTCGGGGGATATCCCAACAGCAGGTGACCAATACATTCATGTTTGCTCAAACACCACTCCTAAAAAGCACGAGTACCCGACTCCAGCCGTTAGGGCTATGCACAGCAGTGGACCCTTAACTTGTCACCAATGTTTTGTCAAGACCAAGGAAGGGCATTGTTTAAGTTATTATTCTGAAGAGTGTCACTGTCCTCATCTTCTGTAGAGAGGAAAGCAGCACACACAAGTCTCCCACAGAATGAAATTTGCTTAACTGGATGAACTGTCAAAATTTTCTTATCTCGACAATTTCTGCCCAAAGTCTGCCTCAAGCGCTCCATTTCATTTTAAAGGAAGCGGATTCCTCTGTATGGAAATACCTCTGTCCCTTTTGCTTTCTAAAAATGGAAACTTTTCACTCTAATCAATAACATTTACGACACAGATCTGACCACAAACTGAGTTTCACATTAGCGCTGCAATTTAGACTCAAGCCACCGTTTTCAGAGATAAGTCGAATTAAGACTCCTAAATAAGACTGCAAGAGGAGTACGCTGAAACAGAAGGGGAAGTGACTGGAGTGTAGTTTCTACTGAAGAGAAATTTAGCTTTTAATGACACTTTAAAAAAAAAAATCGGTCCATGCATTACCTGACATTAACCGCAGGTAATGTTTGCCGCTGACCGGGTTAGGTACGCACCATATGAATTAAGCACATTTTTAAATACGCGATATAACATTTTTTTAAACACACTTCAGTTCCACTCAGTTGGAAGGCCACTGACATAAAGAAAAACAGCAGGGAAGAGTGCCAGGAAAGGACACCTGGTTAACTGCTACTTCCTCTAATTATTCATTCACGGGAGGCGGGAATATGAAATCCTACTGACCGGTAAGAAAGAAAATAACATTCAATACAAATGGCAGACCTACAAAAGAGACTGACTTCAGACAGTAATCCACTTAATTGCTGCAGGTTAAACATTTCATAAGGACACCGTTCTTTATACTTACTCAGTTGCAGCTACTTTTTGTAGTTTTTCTCTTTTCTTCGCAGACCAGTTGAGATCACCACCTGCAACAGAAGTAATACGCACTTTGAAACTTTTTAAATTGGTCTTTTTGTAGTAGAAATTTGATACCATACCTCACTACAGAAGTTCTCAGAGCATTTGACAAAAGAAATCAGTGGAGTCATTTTACAAAAGTAGAAAGCGGGTAAAGAGAAAGAGCAACGTGTTTATCATCGTCTGAGCAAGCAAAATCAGGACCCAAACCAAGTTCTCAAACCTGAAGCAGTTTTCTGTTCGGTAACAGCAAATTTTCTTTACAACTCACCATAACACCCCATAAAACTAAAGAAAGGGCAAGCAACTTTGAAAGAAACAAAGTAATATCTCTTCCAGGCCTTTCAGTAATCACTGCTTCATAAAAAACTAGTTGTGAAAGAACACTGCTATTTGGAGGAAAGTTTACAGAATTAAGATTTTATATTTGCAGATACATATACAGTCAAGTTTGATACGCAGTTTAGAAAGAGCTGCAGAATATGCCACGCGTTTGTTCATGTCAGCTGAAGGGACAGGTACCACTGCCCTGCTGGTGAGATTCCACATCACAGCAAGGTCCAGCGAATTACACACTACAGCATCTACGAAGGTGATGTTACAAGGACAGGTCTCATCAAGAGATGCTCCTGGTACCAAAGCCGTGAGCTACAGCACCTGACACAGGACCACACAACACCCCCTGCAAACAGTTCAGCTTGATAACGTCAAGAATAACGATGAAAACAAGTATCAAGAGAAGCTGAAAACACACACTTACCTGTGAGGTGATTCACAAAATACAGCATGACCACAGCTATTAGTGACACTAAAAAAAACAAACAGGGAACAGTTTTAGCTGACAATGAATTTACAATGACAGAAGAACAGTTTTAACATACAACCAAGCAACAACTCATGTTTTTCATGATAGCTGTAATTGAGGGGAGATTTTTGCCAGCAGCATCTCTTAATTGCTTTTGAAAATTCAACTCTGCTCATAAGTAACATGGTAACTCAGAAAAGGTTATTTTAGTTTTAGTTATACTAATAACAGCCCTCGTAAACACAGCCTTTAAGAGCATCACTCATCTACACTTTACACTTTTTTTTTTTTCTTGAGACACTGAAACTACTTACACTAAATCACTTCAAGAAAACCACAAAACACTTCACTAGGATTGAGTTACTTTCAACGTTGCCCCAGTTGAAACCTCTAACTGTAAGAAACGATTTGTTACTGTTTTACAAGAAATAGGAAGAAAAAAAAAAAGCCTAATAAAGCTTCCCCAATGTACAGAATCCATTTTTAAAGTTTGAGTACTTACAGCAAACACAAGCACTGAAGAAGACTTCAAGAAACAAGTATCCTCTTGTGTCCAGAATCATCCCAGCTGCTATCGCGATAATTGCCAGACCGAGATTCTGGATAGACTGCATGCTGACACACAAACAAAGGATTACCACTGTGCAGAAGTTTATTTTTAAAGAAAAAAACCAAATCAGTAGAGGCACTGAACAAACAATGAGATTAATTTCTCCCCATTTGTTATGAATATGAGACTCCACATTTCTGCAGAAGTCTCCGCGCATCCACCAAAACCCCGTGCTCCACCACACATACACATCCTGAAATGACATGAGACCTCCTGCTGGACTGAACTCGGAGGGATTTAGTAACCGTTAGTGTGTTAGAGCTGCCCGATATTCAGTGGTTCAACAGTACCAGGACATGCTCGCTGCCGAGCAGCGCAGACAGACAGATTGAAGTACTTACAAGCCATAAGCAGTTCCCAGCTGGTGTTCTGGAACAACAAAGGCCACCATGGGCCACAGGGCACAGGCAAGCAACGAGTAGGCCACTCCCAGCAAACACTGGTGAAATACAAACAAGTAAAGAGGTGTCAGACAAGATGCACTTTTGCTGTAAAGTCCTAATAAACGAACATATTGATTTTCCCCTTCTCCCAGAAGAGGGGGGGGGAGAAGAGCTAAAGTAACACTTTTTGCAATACCGTTCTAAATAAACAGGCACGTTTAGAAGAGACAACCTTTTTTCCAGAAGCGACCCACAAACTAAATCCTGTCTAATTAGCAGCAAGTAAAGAGCCTGACTTGAATACCCAGAGGGAGAGATGAATACTGCAACTCACTGGAAAGATACCTGAAAAACAAGGATCCGGTTTTTAAACCCTGATACACCGGTGAGCCCCGTATTTAAGCCCGGAAACCTTAGTTCAAAAGCAATTTCTCGGGGAATCTGCCCCAGGAAGGGGAAGTTAATAACAAAGATTTTTATTGACCTTTACTGCTATCCAACACAGCACATTAGAGATGGTTTAAGTAATTGCAATAAGCTTCAGAACTACACCAAAAGAACAAGTTTTAGGAGAAAAGGGAGCACCCAGCAGAGTAATCTAGCAATAATGAGTGTGAGGAGCATCCATGAAGCCTGAGAGCAGACCTCTGCAACACAGCACCACCGAACCACAGACACTGGGATGAATCGAGGTCGTCTCCGAAGGGAGAAGGAACGGCCACTCCACACAGCCCTCCGGTCTAACCCCGTCCTTCCTGTGCAGCTGAACGCCCTTTTGCACTAAACAACTACGGAACTACTGCTGCAGACCGCAGCAGTCAGTCTTTTCCACTTCAAAACACATGTGCGTAACTACTGCCTCCCTCCACAAAACACCAAAACCCAAAGTGTTATCTTTAGGCCACAGATAGCTCATAGTAATTTTGCCTGTATTATGCATTCTTTGCTTTTTCACTGTCTTTAGTTTTAAACTCCGTTTCACATAGTATATCCTTCTTAAAGTCAGCGACATCAAAATAGGCTTTGAGGACTACCTAAACAGTCAGAAGCCAGTGGCAACTTATGCCGAATTATTCAGCATCAACTCCATTTCTTATTTTATCACATTTAGCTATAAGTCACAGAGAATTAGTTACCATCGCTATCCAGGGGTTCCAGAAGGTAAAAGCCAACATGATGTGAGAAGCAAGTGTAGTTACTACAGCACATAAAACCCAGATGATATTCTTTCCAAGTTTATCCACCAGGAATCCAAAGACTGGGGACATGGGTGCCGATATGATATACACAATACTACAAAAGAATAAAAACAAGAGAACACTATCTAGCCATGGACAGCCATAGGTGTTACACAATACAAGCGTCTCCAGATAAAACACCACATTCCCTTGTTACCCGTGAGGCCATAAGAAAAACCACACCAAGAGAGAACAACCAAACCCTAAACAACAGACCCCAGAACTCAAAATTCCCAAAAGGTGTGAGGACATGAAAACATTCAACATCCAAGGAAACAGTGACATACTCAGACCTCTCGGAATCATATACCAGCAAGTGTTTTGTTGGCGGTGGGTTTTATTTGTTTGGTTTTTTGCTCCATCACAAATTCATCTTCAAACTAAGAAAATTTAGTTAATTTAGCGCTGCTCTTAAACTGTTTCTATCACTCAGAATGGAATCGCCAAATACCAAACTAATACCCTTCAGACAGAGCCCTTTCTTTCCAATTCCTCAGTGGGAACACCGAGGACCTTTCTATTTAAACAAATCCCCGCACCTCCTCATTATTCCTTGGGCCACGTGAAGTCTGTTCACTTAAATTCAAGTCACCACCTGCAACAGTAGATCCCAACCCTCCTCCCACATGGTCAGAGCCCAGAGATACAAACACCCCTGAGAACACAGCAATAGCACAGTTACTTGTTAAATCAGCCACAATATACCTGTTGATTGCGCTTGCTTCTTGAGATGAGAATCTGAATTTCTCAATAAAGAAAACCCTAAAAAAAAAAAACAGATTTAGGAAAATGCATACTTGTATGACACGAAAGAAAAATTAAGCTCTACAAAGTAAAGACACAGAAACGTAGTTTCCAGGAAACACTTAAATATACCTATCTAGCTTTGATATAAACATCCCATCACAGACCCTCATTCATAATGCATTTAGGAGCTCATTATCAGACTCTACAAATTTTTGCCTAAGGACTATTCAAATCACACTTTGGGGAAAACATCCAAAGTACATAACCAACACGAAACCCAACAACGAGACATCAGCCATGCGCATGCTGTAAGAGACCGAAGCGAGAATGTGTGGAATACATGCACAAGCAAAAAATGGGCGTCTACACCGCTGACTGGAAGGTCTCTCCAAGCCATCTCAGACTTTACTGTCTCACTCACTGTAAAACATGCATCAAGCTCAAGAGATCTGTTCCTAATTCCAAGTATATTCAAAACCCATCTGACTGAGCTATTAGATCAAGTCGTGGTTCAAAACGCTTCAAGTTTCAACTTCATATACACCAGAGTCAGCACAGTAAGAGAATTTCAGTCCGAAACTGTAACTACATTTAAGCCCCCACCTCACACTCAGTCCATAGCTTATGAGTACAGAAGGAATTCTACATGACAGCTGTCCACAGCTTTCCACACCAAAACTCACGCCGTGCTTTAAATCTGTATCAGGTTTTAATGAGGAAACGGAGCATGCATTATGCTTTTGAGTTCTGACAACTCAGCCTATGCCAAGCTACGGTACTTTCCACAAAGCTCAGCAGATAAGGAAACTGTCAGAGTTTTTTAATTTGTATCACAAGTATAGCAAACAATGCCACAGAAGAAATGACAAACCACAGCACAGCCTTGCTGGGAGACCAGTGGTTCTGTAGCTGCCTGGGATTCTTAAATATTAGCCCACACCTCTCCCTTTATAAGTAGCTAGTTAAAACCCTGGCCACATTCAAGGGGAATAGCTACGCAAGTGAGAGACTTACTTTCCAAGTCCAATGAAAGGAAAAACGGCTGCATAGTAACAGACACAGATTACAAATATAAGCCACAAGGACAAAGAGAAGTCCTTCACATCTGTTAGCTTAATCACTTCACCTGAGTGGAGAAAGAGACAACATTGTTCCAGTCAGCATAAGCAGACCTGAAATCCATCCACACTGAATAAACACGAAGGTGATCTCAAGGCTAAAGCACATATTCCTGCCACTATCTACTCTCTTGTTTAAAGTTTACAGAGTGAGAGTCGGTTAAGAATATACAAGTCCTAAATCAACAGTGCCAGAGTCAAGAACAAATTGTCTCTCCCATAGTAAGCTGGATGTACAAGTTCTCTAAAGCCTCTGAAAGTCCTTCTGCAGCAGAATTAAATACAAACCACTTTTTCAAGGAAATGTTTAATCAGTTAGCCAAATTCACATCTGAAGCCTCATATTATATGCTCTTACTCAGATGTCAAATTTAGTTTCTTTTTAATTGGTCTAAATTCCCCACCACAGAAAACTCAAAACATCACACATTGATGGAGAAGAGCTGCATGTTTTTGCACACCTATTAAAGGAAATAAGACCAATTCCAACAAAAAGAAGTACCAGTGGCAATGGCACAGATCAAATTGGTGTGAACTGGGAGGCTCTCCACATGCTTTACAAAGAAAGCAGATGATACTGCATTTGCCTGTAAACGAGTGTTTAAAGCTGTGAAGATTCTTACTGATACAAAAATGAACTAAAAATTAAAGCTATAACTGTGAAAAAGATGTTAAGGAGCAGCCACTGAATCACATAAAATGCAAACCTGCGCAGCGCACAGCATAACTGAAGGGGTCTGCTCTGGCAGGAAGGAATGAAGCCCAGAGCAGGTTCAGCCACACCACTCACCCGTTTTCCCTTGCTCTTTACAAAGGAGCTTCTGCGCCCTCTTGTCCAGATAAGCAAGGATTAACGCACAGGTCAGTGAAAAGAGACACGTTACACCACCTGCAAGAAGGCAACGTGACACATTTAGCTGTTGACTCAAGTAGTAATTTGGCTTGTAAGCACAATTAGCATAGCGTACCTTTACATATCTAATATGACCCAAGTTTAACACCAGCTTGTCTTATACATAAGACTGAACAGCGGTTCAATTCAAAAGAATAAAGTAAATACCGAAACCTGCCACATGAGAGACACCTGCCTTGAACTATAGTACAAGCATGTAGCTACAGTTATTTTATTTAAAGCACTACCACCACCCCCGCTCAGCACAGCCAAGCTCCTTATCTGTCCCTTGTAAGGACAGAAACGAAGCCTGGGCCTTAATACCCATGGCTCAGAGGGAAAGGAGCGCAGATCCTAAAGTAGATGAAATTTCACTTTTACACATCTAACAATTCCGAGCAGGCTTTGACACGATACCTTTCAGAAATTTTTTTTTCCAATCCCTATCTTGTACTCAAAGCACGCAAAATGTTTCATCTCCTTAAGATACAAACTTGAATTTGGCAACCACAAAAATCACACAGCATTTCACCAGACACAGTAATCACACACTCTACATGAGAATATCAGCCATTGATACAGACAGTATTTGAACTGCTCTTTCCAGTCTCAAACATATTTGCCCTACTTTCAAGTTAGTAAGAAATCATTAACACATACACATGTTCAAATTCAGAAGCCTAAAATAGCAGGTGACATCAATTCAAAGTATTACTGACCTATCATGAGAGTTAACCCAAGAGTACTGGGACCAGTATACCCCAGAAGATCTCGAACTCTAGAGTATATCCATCCCATGATATTCATGTTCACTGTGCTCCCCTAGGCAGAACAGATTCATGTGAAGAACGGATTTCACAATTACATGGATTCAAAAGGAACATTAGGCAGATTGCTTATTGCACGGTGTTTAAAACAAACGGGTAAAATGCTACACAGGGAACGTAAACCACCAGCAACGACGACTAAATTATTCCCTGCTAGTTTGGTCAGTGTTTGCAACAAGTTAACCATTGCAACAATAATATACGGTCACAAACTGAAATTTTATACAACTTTAGCAGTGTTTCAATGGAGACACTAGAAGCACTGTTAAAAATCTACATCACACACTGCATTAGCTCATAAACCAAGTGGAATTTAATACCACATGCTAAAGCAAACAGGATTCAAACAGGATTCCCACCTGACAGGCACCAGGAAGAAGCACCTCCCCGCCACACACCTTCTCCCCCTAGAGAAGGGACCCATGGCTGCAATCCCCAGGCTAACAGCAGTTAACTACAGTTCAGCTGAGATGATGCAACTGCTAATTAGCAACAGCCTGAACATCAACCCTGTCCCAGCTGTGACAAGCTAACTCTGTTACTGAGGTAAACGCCTGCAGAGGTTTAAGGTACCACGGGCTGCTGCAGAGGACCCCTAACAGGAGAGGCACGCCCCCACTCTCTTCACCCACAGCTTGGTGTGAACCCACCTCTAGCAGCAGTTTCAGTGATTGCATCAAACCAAAACGGCACAGCTGAGATACAGTCACACAGTTCCTATCAGAACCAGCAACAGGGAGAAAACCATCTTACAACAGCAGATACGGAGGGGAGTTCTTCAAGCAGCCATCCCAGCTCATTTACCAGCGCCTGCACCTAGCCCCTGAGCCACAAGCCACGCTCAGTTAAGCCAACATTTTATGAGATGCCCCGAATCAGTATGTCTGATAAAATGCAGCACTGCGACTGTCCCACCCAGCAATCTACACTAGTACCACCACCAGGCGTCTTTAGAAGTTTGACGGGTTCTAAGGAGCCTTATTAACCCATTTCCTTCTGTATCCTTTGTCTATCTACCACAAGTTTTTAACATTTTAACTTTAAATCGCATATCAATTTTTAACTAAAACTCCCTAGGGAGCATTAGACATGCTATTTTTCACCTGTCTCACTGCCAAGACAAGCCGCACACCTTAAAGTCTATGAATTAAAGCTATACGGTTTTACACTTACAATTCTCGCCATGCTTAGCTGTAGTCCAAACACAAGGTTTAACTCCTTGCCTTTAAACCAACTGACTGCATACGTGTTTTGTGCCACCGCTAAGGACTCTCCACCTATCCTAAAAAAGAAGGAAGGCACAAAAGAAAACGCATTACTTGCGACATGCAAAGCAACAAAGCAGCAGACAGTTGCCACCAATACCAAGATGACAGTATTTCAGAGAAATTTATCTATGTACAGGTAGATCTAATGTATATATGCAAGTAATCAAAGTTCTTAAAGACAATTCAAAAGAGAACTGAAGTGTCTTAAGAATAATTAAGAGCTCAAGGTATACTAAGTAGTCTAGGAACGATATAATTGCCTTTGGTCATTTACAGAAATTAAATCAATGGGCAGCAGCTTCTCACTTCTCTTCTTCATTAAACAACCAGGTGGTACAGATCCTGACCAAATAAAACCAAAACCAGGAATCTTCCCTGGAACCCAAATTTAATGGAGTCATCTGCCCACACCCCAATACAGTCAGTCAGATTTTCTAACATTTTTATGCTATGGCACATTCACAACTTGGAGGTATTTCTTCTGACATTTACTCTAATTTTTTGCCACCGTAGGCACCCTGTAGCATTTACTGTTGCTAAGAATTCTTTTTACCCAGGAAAGTAAGAACTAAGAGAAAAGGAGGACTAACAGTTTTATCAGCTTACTGCATGTCTTTATTTGGGCAGTTTCATAATTTCTGAAGTCCATAACCTGCAAAGTTCTTTTTTTTTTTTTATTTTCTAACTTGAAGTTAGACTGGGAATACAACTGAAGATCTTGCACGCCTCAACTTTATAAATGCCTCAACACCCAACAATTTTGTCTCTGAGTGTAAACATGTGTCATGGTTTAGGCAGTTTTCTAGGACACAGAAAGACAGTCCTTACCTCAAAGCACACACTCTACTCTTCTAGACTTACCCAAATACAAACCTGCCCATGTCCATCAGCCAGAAAGTATTAAGTAGTGCTCCCAAAGCAAAAATTACCTGCCACAAACATTTAAGGAAAAGTTATAATTTTACATTTGAACTATGGAACAAACTAGAACCCCTCAAAAGAGAAGCAAAAATGCTTTTCCTGTCTCAGACCTGCAGAAATACTTCACACACACTTCCTACTCACAGCTTTTTGCCTTTACTCCCTCTGCCTTATTCACCATCCTGCCGGCTACGCAATATCCAGCCCAGCTCACCCTGAAACTGCATGCAGAAAACACCTCCAGAGGCTCAAGTCATGCTTCACCTTTGTCATCATATTCTACCCAAATACACCTACATCATAGTTGCACATCAAGCAGATAAACCATTTGGTTCCTTCACATTCTTATTTCACTTATCTTTCAAAGTCGTCGGTTCCCAGTTAACCCATCTGTTCCCAACTACGGCAATAAAATTCAGGGTTCTCCCATTTCAGTTCTCTCCACCTGCCCATCCCCCGCTGTAACACGCACTACTGTGCACAAAGTCATCTGGGCTTTTTCCCCAACCCAGGAGAGAGCCTTCAGACACATATCATCCTTCACCCTCTCTTTTGCACTTACCTGCCCAACACAAACAAAGACACTAAATATTATAGTGCCCAACCTGCAAGAAAAATAAAATCACTTAATACACGATTAAGACTCTTTTTTTTCCAACAAGACACTATACTAGACCTACTGTAAGAAAACAAGGGGAGACTGATAAAAGGTCTCTGTAATAAATGCTACAGCTGGACAGCTTCCTTAAAAGAAGGCAGTACAGGCTGGCATTTTTGAATGCCACTTTATTTAAGCCATGAAGGGAAGGAAGCTCATTTGTACCAGAGGAAATTCCTAGATTGTGCCAAAAAAAAAAATTGAAAAAACTTATTACAATTTGAAAAAAAAAAATTGTATTATAAAGTCTATACTTCACACGCACTCGAGGTCTACCATCCGCTGAACACGAGTGACACCAACATCACACTTACCGTATTCCAAATACTCTGTCTATCAGAAAACCTCCAAAGAAGCAGAGAACCACATTGGGCCAGGAGTACCAGGCATAGAGCGCCATGAACTGAGCCGTGTTCACCTTCATATCCTACATAAAGAAGGGGGAGAACTAAAAAAAGTAATTTCGGAGACGTAGAACAAGTATCCAAGTAGAAAGTACACTTTCTGACCTGGCCCGTACCCCCCGGTCTCCATGACCCCCTTCCCGCCCCAGACAGCTACTCACCCGTTGAACCTGGGTTTGGAGCGCCGCCGGGTTGTCGTAGCAGAAGTAGCTGCCTGCAAGGAGACGGGGAGGCCTCAGAGCTCGGCCCCGCCACCCC